TATATATATATATATATATATATATATATATATATATATATATATATGGTTTATCATGTGGACACTTTTACAGATTAAATACCCCCAGAAAGTGTAATCATGACCTGACACACATGTGTACTGTCTAGCCCTGGCAATTTACCAACAATGGTTCTTCTGATATTAAAAATACACATCAAGGCAGATGTTCTGCAAGCCAATGGATTTAAGTGCACATATGAGTTAGTTTATATCAGTACTAACCCAAACATAAGCTGCTTATCGATTTAGAGGCACAACATATCTAAAAGACTTATTCTACTCTTTATACAAAATATAAACAAGTTTTGTTTATAAAAATATTGATAACATGAACCATACACATTAATAGAAGACAACATGGATTGTATGTATATGTCACCCTGTCTCCATGTTCATGCTCCATACACATGTACATGTGTATATACAGACATTTTAAAGTATTTAGAACAAATCACAAGGAAAAATGTTATCTCAATGAGATGCTGAAAAGATTGAGTTCAAAATTGGCCATTGGAACACCTTTCCTAACTGGAAACAAAGTGAGAACATTAGTAAGGTAAGTTTAAAATATTTTTGATGTGAAATAAATCCATGGAAATACAAATTACTCAAGAGAAAAAATAGCTTAGTTTCTTGAAAAACTAAATTTACAAATATTGAAATACTAATGCAATGGGTGCAGGTAAAACTTTGGCAATTAAAATAAGAAGCTATTAAAACCATACAATGAAAGAGTCATGGGTATTTTTCATAACTATACTGAATCTGCCAGATTCTAACAAAATATTTAGGTCCCTGGACAATATGAAAATATGCATTTGCCTATATATACAATGAAAATGTTATTATTATGATATATCTGTCAGGAATTTGGACAATAGATCAAAATAAATTTCAAATTGATTTTAAGTCATGAATTAGTTTATTTTTTGCAGAAAAGAACTGGATTGCAGAAAAGAATTGGAAACATTTCTGTAATAGTTGGAAATAATGCATACCTTCAAGTTATCTTGGCAAAAAACAAAATCAGAAGAAACATTGCAAAGCCATCCATACTTCCCAAGAGTTTAGGAATCATGGAAAACCCATTGGCCAGTCAAAAGGCACTAAAGTAATGGGTAAATCATTCCTTGAGTAAGCTGAATTTGAGCATCCCACGACATCAAATTCACAACAGTGATTTCAAAGAAAATAGTTGATGTTGCATTTCCTAAATCAGCTGTTAGTATACACATAAAATGTTAGGGACAATATATAGCAGATCTTTGCTTTTATTTTTTTACTCTTTTCTCATTGAGATTAGAAAATATGCAATATATATATATATATATATATATATGTATGTATGTATAATATAAGCACAAAATGAAACTTTACCAAGGAAAAAAAGTGTACTTGTAAATGAAAAAGTGATAGTAAGTAATGACCAAACAATCAAAAACAGAAAGAATCAAAGAACCAGAAAGAATGGAAAGCAGCAGAATCAACAAGGGTTTTCAAACCTTTGGTAACTTTGTAAGGTAATGAATACGTTCTAAATAAATAACTCTTACCTCTTATTTCAAATAGATTTGAGGTAGTCTGTATGAAAAGCCAATATGACAGTGTCTTTGTAAAAATGAGCTAATATTTATGGACAGAATAGAGACATCATGTGGGAAAAGTCTCAAAATAAAACATTTTAATACACACAACTAGTAACATAACCACACATTTGTCAGAACAGCAGCCAAGGCCAGGAGCAAATGCAAGAGCTAACACAGTCTAATAAAAGGAGGTGGAGATTTATTAAAATAAGGCACTTATATTCTGAACACTAGGATAGATTATTATAACGTGAAGGTTTTTTTTCAAGATTGATGTTATATGGAGTTTCTGAGTTGCATAGATATGACTTTCATAATGTCAACATTTAGTGAAAACCTAAAAATGCATCACAGTGAACGACATGTGTGTGGTGCGATTTAAGATGACATTAAATGTCCATGGACAGCATAAACGGTTGTATATAACATAAAGAAGTAGAAAAAGTAAGGCTTTACTATAGAAGTAAAATTAGACATTAAAAAAAAGCAGGTTACAGTAAATACAAAAAAAGTGTAAGAACCAAAACAAAACCCCAGAAAGCTCTATCACCATTTTAAAAAAGAATAAAACCAAATATACCAGAGTATGCGTATGCATGCATATTAGAACTTTGGCTTGGAGAGATTAATCCAATACTGAAATTTTAGGTTTAACTGAATTCTAAAATTTTGAATTTTACCAATTTCTAAAATTTTGAATTGCCAAAACCATTATGTTAAGTTTCCTGTTGCCTTAAAAAATTGAGATTTGTCTTGGATAATTTTTATAGGAGAAATTAAAGCTCACAACACTATTGACCTGAAAAAAGAAAACAATCAATAAATACAAGTATTTGCTTCACTTATTTAAAAATGTAATATAAATGTAAACAATTAAACAGTTGTAAATAGTAGAAAATAAGAATATTTTAAAAAATTGAAGATGTGCCCTATAAAACAAACCAAGCTTCTAATGCACATTTTTCATTCACATAAAATGAAATGTTTTTGTATACACATTTCGTTGCACGATTGAAATGAATTAAGCAGCCACTGGGTTTTGAAGATTACCCTTCCTTATAGCACCCAATAGATGGAGAGCAGTATTGTTCTCCTAGCTGCAGCTCAGATTACGAGGTAGGATCATGTTGGTCTCAGTGCTTCTGACCCAATGCAATGTTGAGGGGTTTGGAGCCTAGGATCCGGCCATTCATCTCAGCCATTGCTTTAGCAGCTGCCTCTGGGGAGAAGAAGCAGATCAAACCAAAGCCTTTGCTCTGCCCTGCTTCCTTCATCACTTTAACTCTGCAGATAGACCCAAAGGGAGAAAATTCCTTGCGCAGTGTTTCATCATCAATGGTGTCATCCAGGTTCTTAATGTAGAGTTTAGCGGCCTGACGTGCACGGATTCTTTCTTTTTTCATCTGCTCAAATATTTCCTTTAACTCAGCCTGTCTTTCTACCTTCTTCTGGGCTCTGCCCACAAAAATTGTCTGCCCGTTTATGTCCTGTCCATTCATGTCTTCAATTGCGTTTTTCGCAGCCTCGTGGCTATCAAAACTCACAAATCCAAAACCTTTGGACTTTCCAGTGGCATCTTTCATCACCTTAACGCTCAAAGTTTTGCCAAATTTGCTGAAAACTTCCCTGAGCTTCTCATCGTCCACGTCATCCCCAAAGTTTTTGATATACACATTAGTGAATTTGGTGGGTTTCTCTCTGAGCTCAGCCTCCCGATCCTTACGGCTTTTGAACCTGGCCACGAACAAAGTGCTCTCTCTCAGCAGTTTCCCATTCATTTCCTCAATGGCCCTGTCTGCTGCTCTCTGGTCCTGGTAGTGCACGAAGCCATAGCCCTTGGAGCCTTCTTCATCAGCCATCACCTTGGAGGACATGATCTTTCCAAAAGGTGAGAAGTGTTCATACAAGGTTTTGTTATCAATGGATTTGTCCAGATTCTTGATAAACACATTCCCGATTCCCGATTTCCTCAGGCAAGCATCCCGTTGAGACCACATGAGACGGATAGATTTACCTTCGATCACATCAAAGTTCATGGTTTCTAGGGCCTTCTTAGCATCATTCACTTGGAGAAAATTGACATAGGCATAACCTAGTGAACGATGGGAAATCAGGTCCCTGCAGATTCGGATGGACAACACCGGCCCCACTGTGTTGAACTTCCTGAACAGCACGTCCTCCGTGACATCTTCGTGGAGATCACCCACATACAGCGAAGCCGCACGGTACTTAGCTTCAACACTCATGTTTTTGTTCTTGGCCTTTTTGGTTTCTTTCTCTTTCTTTCTTTCTTTCTTTCTTTCTTTCTTTCTTTCTTTCTTTCTTTTTCCCCAACACTACAAGCCCGGCAGCTCCCAAGGATGTATCTTTCTGCAAGAGGGAAAGAGGGGAAGCACAGTCACAACTCAGGACCTGAACAGTGGCCTCCAATGACCACTTAGAGTCCAGCTTCAGGGTCAGTTGCACTTTCCCCGAGCCAGGCAACACCTTAGAAACCAATGCCCTCCTCTGGTAGTCTGCATTTTGCCTTCAGCTCTCAGTCTCAAACTTTCCTTCCCTTACAACTCAGCAACAACTTACAAGTGGCTGGCCAGGACAGGCCGTCCATCTGCCTCCATCCCAGCAGCTGGTGGCTTGTTTCCGAGAGCACAAACAGGGCCTGTGTTCCCTTGGCTTAGCCTTCTAGCCAAGCCTGGAGCGAGCAAGGCAGCGGGGGCGTGCAGCCCAGGCCCGTCTCTGAAGGCCCCGCTCCGTCCCGCGCAGAAGCCGGATCCACACCGCCCACCCCGCCGCTGAGAGCGCGCCTGGGCCGCGTCCGTGGCCACCCACCCCGCGCCCCGGTGGCCAGAGGCACCGGAGAAGAGCCTGGCTGAATATTGAAGCTCACCAGGTTAAGGACTGCAGGCGGCAGGAACACGGAGCTCGCTGGCTAGCCCTGTTTGCTCTTTCACACTTTTGGGGGGAGAACCGTGTTCCTCCCCCGCCCCTCCGGCTCGCTCCCCACCCTCTGCGGCTGGGCTGAGGGAAGGAGGCGGTGTCGTGGGTGGAGAAAACGGCTGGGGGTGTGGCCGGGCAACCCACCACCAGGCTGCTCCCTCCAGGGTCTGTTTTGTCCACACTGGTCCTCCCAAGCAAAGATCCGGATCCTGCAAGTCCTGGAAACACCCTGCGATGTCTTTGACCAGGTCCGGACAGCAGAGCTAGTCCAGCAACTTTCTGCAGAATCTGCATGCCCTTCTTCCCAGGAAACCCCACGCCTCACTTGCTTTTTCTTGTGAGGTCAACTTTTAAAAGGTTTTCTTTTTAAACAGCAGATTCAACCCTCCGTAAAGAAAACTTTTCCCTGCATCTCTTCCGGTAGTCTAGGTTTCTCTTTTTCACACAGTTGCACCATCTCACGATCTCATACCTGATTATAACAGACTCCATTCCAGAAATATATCCCATGTGTATTTTATTTTCAGAGATTTCTGGAAACGAGTGGTTTATTAAAAAGGTGTCCACTGTGTATTGAATACTTCACCTGTGGAATAGATGAGGGAGTTACTGAAGCTATTTGGAGATAGTGGCGCTCAACTCAGTGTGCAGCAGATGTTAAATAAATTAATAGATTTAGATATGTTGACAAAGTATCAAGAGTGTAATTAATTCCTTGTAATAGTGGCTCCACTTCCTCTTACATTAAATAATAAAAAAATGATTCCTAGCAAATCTTACAATTTGAAACATGATGCCCTTAGAAAATTAAAATTAGTTACCTGAAGAACTGAACTGGTCAGAAAACAAAATAATAAATTTAATATATTGCAAAGTTTAATCAACATAGATATTGCCTGAAAACTTTACTTAAAAGCAGATTCTGGTTCAATAACTTAGATAGATGGGAGACTCAACATTTCTAACTAATGAGACAGTCTGTGGTACTCTGATTTACATGTTGGGTAGAAGGATTTTGTGTCTAATGAGTCCAGAATTAATGGAGTATTTTCTAATGTAGCCAGAAAAATAATATGTATTTCTCCTAGGGAAGAAAATGGCATTGTCTTAAAAGCCATTGTCAATGTATATTAAGAAGTACTCCAATTTTTACTATAAATTAGAAATTTATTTTAATCTACTTACAATTAATTATGCAGGAGATAAGAATATCTCATCCAATATGTGACAGACTGTTGAAGAACAATTATAAATAAACAATATTATGAAACTGTCTCCTCTCTAATAATTTATCTGAAAGGAGAACATAAATTTTCTACATAAGAATTCACTGGTCCCCTCTTTAAGAAAGAACCCAAAGTCAACCACTGAAAACAACTTGAGAACTTTGGGAGACCATACCAGAGGCATCTCAATTATTAAGGAGACTATTTGCCCAGTATCTTGCTTTGCAAATATTTTATATCTACAGACTCTGATATCTTTCTGCATTTGCTTTCCCAGTTCTGTGAAAATACTCTATTCTAAACTGGAACTCAAAACCATCCCTGTGAAATCTACTCATTAGCTGTATCTTCCACTATAAAATGGATCAAAAATAAGTGTGCATTTGTTTTTCTTCTGTAAATCTATTTCTTGTTAATGGGTTTGTTCTAAACAAGGGTCTATAAAGTGCTGGGAAAAGTTATTTCAATATAGTAATGGATTTATTATTACTTACAACCAATCTTGGTTGACCATATTCGTCTTCAGATCATTTATATGTTGTTTCTTCTTAAAGAATTGTTTGTAAAAAACAGATGATTATGTTCTAAACTGTAATTTTCAAGAGGTAGACAAAACAATAACACATTTGTGCAATAGGCCAGCATGAATTTTAAATTTGAGACAATGCCACTGCAATCAATAATTTATGAACCCTTTCATTTTCTATTTTGTGTAATAATTTGAGGAATACTAGTATTAGTTTTTTGAAAGTCTGGCAGAATTCTGCACTAAAGCTTTTTATCCCTAGGCTTATTAAGTTTTTTATTTGATCTTAACTTAAATTTGGCAATTGGTATGTATAAAAAGTTTTCCAGTTCTTTTAGAATTTTGATTTTTGTGGAGTACAGGTTTCTGAAGTGTGACCTAATGATTCCTTGGATTTTCTCTGTGTCTGTTGTTGTATCCTCCTATTGTTTATGATTTTGTTAATTTGGATATTCTCCCTCTGCCTTTTAGATACTTTGTATAAGGGTTTGTTTATCTTGTAGATTTTCCTAAAGAACCAATATTTGTTTCATCCATTTGTGTGATGTTTCTTTGTTGCTATTTTATTGATTTTTGGCTAGAGTTTGATTAATTTATGTTGTTTATTTCTCTTCCTGTGGGTTTTTTGTTGTTGTTGTTTTTGTTCTTGTAGAGTTGTAAGGTGTACTGTTAAGTTTCTAATATGAGATCACTCTGATTTCTTTACGACCTCACTTAGTACTATGATCTTTTCTAATGACATTGCTTTCATTATGTTCTAGAGGTTGAGTATATTGTGCATACATTTTCATTGATTTCTAGAAAAATCCTTGGGCTCTTTCTTTCTTTCTGCCTTGATCCAGTAGTCATTCAGTAGAGAGTTGTTCACTTTCTACGAGTGTATAGTTTCTTGGTTCTTTTTGTTGTTGCTGAAATTGAACTCTAATCCATATTGGTTCTGACATGCTATAAAGGGTTACTTCAGTTGTTGTGTCTTACTTACTTTGTGACCAAGTATGTGGCCAATTTTCAAGAAAATATCTGGAGGTGCTGAGAAGAAGGTATATTATTTAGTGTTTTGGTGAAATTTTTTATAGATATCTGTTAGCTCCATTTGATTTATAATATCTTTTAGCTCCATTATTTTTCTTCTTATTTTTTGACTGAATGACAAGTCCATTGGTGACAGTAGTATATTAAAATCTTCCACTTTAAAATGTGTGGATCAACATATGATTTAAGCTTTCAAAATATTCCTTTTCTAAATCTGAGTGTCCTTGCTTTGGATAAATAAATGTTCAGAATTGAGATCTCATTTTTGTGGATTTTTTCCTTTCATGTGTGTTTTTCAAATGGCTGAGAAACACTTACATGCTAGGAAAGCATTTCAGGAAATACAACAACATTTTACAATAAAAGGCTTAGAGAGATCAGGGATACATAGGACATACCTAAGCACAGTAAAGTTTACAAACAAGTGACTAGTCAAAATCAAATTAAATGGAGGGAAACTCAAAGCAATTTCACTAAAATTTCGAACAAGACAAGGCTTTATACTTTATAAGAACAATAAGAAAACTAAAGGAGATCAAGGGGCTACAAAATGAAAAGGAAGAAGTCATTGTATCATCATTATTTTTAGATGATATGATAATATAAAAAACGACCATAAAATTTTTACCAGGAAACTCCTACAGCTAAAAGTTACCTATATCCAAGTGGCTGGATTCAAGATTAACTCAAAACAAACAAACAAACAAACAAACAAACAAATCCTTCTATATACAAAAGCAAACAGTAAATGAGCTTAGAATGATATCAGGGAAACTACAATTTTCACAATAGTTAGAAATATTATAAAATATATTGGGCCAACTCTAATCAAATAAATGAGAGACCTGTATAACAAGCATTTCAAGTCTTTAAAAAAAGAATTAAAAGAAGACATCAGAAAATGAATCAGAAAAAGATCTCTCATCTTCAGGAACAGTAAGAATAACATTGTAAAAATGTACATCTCAACAAAAGCAATCTACTGATAAAACACAATCCCCATCCAAATTTCAACACAAGATTTACACACTTTGAAAGAACAGTGCTCAACTTCATATGAAAAAAACAACAGCAACAATAACAAAAAAAAACCAAACTATCCATGATAGCAAAAACAATCATGAGCTAGAAAAGAAATTCTGGAGGTATTACTATTACTGATTTCATGTACTACCATACTGCCATAGTAAGAAAATCCACATGATATTGACAAAAATGTAGAGAAGGTGATCAATGGAATCAAATCATAGAACCATACATAAATCCACAACTTGTAGAGACTTGATTTTTTTTAACAAAGCCAGAAATATACAATGTAGAAGAGAAAGCATATTCAGTTGATGCCATTGATCTAAATGGATGTAAGCATGAAGAATGCATCAGACTCATATCTATCTGGATCAGAGACTTCAATATAAAATTGGATACAGTGAATATGATAAAACATTAAGTCGGGAATAGCCTTGGATTCATTGAAGGATACAACTTCTTGAACAGAAAATCAATAGTACAAGCACTAAGATCAACATGAAACTGAAAAGCTTCTG